TGTACTGTGTATTATAAAGTGTATATGTTACTACGCCTGTAGCCCGCACGGTGCCTCACTGAGAATGTGTACAATGTTTGTCTTTTTGTAAAAAGTTCCTTTTGTCGACCCGCGCGTCCCGAAATAAACACACAACTTGATGTTTGGGACTTTTCAGGACCAATTTCAGTTGATCACACATTTCCCATTATGTAATACATAATTATTTTCCTCCCTCTTGCCGTTACAATTTGTTTCGATTAATAATATAGTACATATACATAGTCCAGTTTTCAATCGCCTAAAAAATATTTAAGTTTCTAACTGGATTTCAGTGTTATTTCACTAATTGTAACAAGTTAAGTATTCGTAAACAAGTAGTGTCGGTAATTGTAAGGGCAAGCAATTGTCGGCTGTCGTCGTTGTAAGCAACAAGCCACCTAGTACGAGTATAATTACCAAGATAACTAAATCGATTGTCAACACACTGGCAGTTTAGTAAACAATTGGTTGGCAGGCGACGGTTGGCAGTGCCCGCAGTGCGCAGTGACACCGCGTGCCGCCGCTAACTCTGATTAGAGTCCGACTATACATGTACTTAAATAGTCAATTGCTTCCTAAATTCAAATTCAAAATGAAGAAAATCAACCAAATCGTATATTTTCCATTACCTTGTCGAGATTCTACCTTGTCTTTATCCGTTTTGTATTAAGTCTGTTATCCGGTATCAGTTTCCATCTCCATTATTATAATTCAAGTAACTTTGTATTGAAAGTTTGTAGAATCAGTTTGAGCGACGTATTGACATACCGCAAAATTTAGTTTGTTATTCGTGTTGACGTGTGGACAGTCTGACTGGTGGCCGGGTTTTAATAAAATAACCTGGCAGCCATGTTCGGTCGCCACATTGTGATCTGATTCAATTGTTATATTGTCAATGTCAGAGCAGACCAGATTTAAAAAGTTGAAAAATGTGAAGTTGAATTCAATGTATTTTTGAAATGTTGCTACTGATGGGCGCTGGGAATGTGCTCGACGGCTTTATTTCATATTATTGAGCTTTCAATACATAATTTATTTGTACTAGAGGTTATGAGCATCGACTTTGTGACGAAATTGTTCACTTGTTGTAAACAAATTGAATTGACATGTTTGTGTTAGCGAGCAAGGTGTGGTATGTATAGAGTATTTTCCAGGACAGTCAGTCAGGGCGATAAAATTTGGTGAGAGTTCGGTGGTACATACATACCTTGACATACATAGGAGTGCGACTGTCCTGCAAATGCAAAATAAGTAGCGTTAGTAATTCAATCAATAGTTGAAACTAACAGAATTTATGTAAATAACAGGCAGTGTGACAATACAGAGGAAACCGATATGTTTGTGCAATTAGTTAATGATTTGTAACAAAATTCAGTTTATAACAGCGGACGTAATGAGTTGCTAACCGCAGCCATTCGGTCGTAGTGCCCATGTACACGCCAATAAAGTACCTATCACATAGATATATCAGATAGGGTCTAGCTTATGTGCAACGGGGTGGTGTGAGCCATCGAGTTGCAGAGTTTATTAAAGCAATTTTAGTTTATTACTATAGCTATTGCGAGCCAAATAATCGAAAATTTATGAAAGGTTTGGGAGAGAAAATTTTGTATATGTAGGTATAAAAGTATATTCTATTCGCATAAACATGTATATTTATAGTATCTCGGAAATGGCTCCAACGATTAAGATGAAATTTTGTACTGTATATATAATTACTCGTAATATATTCCGCCACGAAACGATCCCGTTTCTCTTTTGTTGTTATAAGCTGATATTTCAACACAGGATAATTATTTAGAACAATTACAAGTTAATTACATAAATCGATATTTTATTATGATTCAAATTGAATTATGTTTTCAAACGAGTGTTTCGTTGTTATTGCCTTAATTAATCCCGTCAGTGTAAATATGCCTTTATACATTATACATGTAAATACGGAATGTATGAGTTGACGTCTGAATCGGACTATATAATTTGCTTATTCAATATCTGCTATTAAAAGTCCAAAAATCTGTGAAGCAAATCTGCGACGGATCAAAGATTCATAATGAGATGAGGTGAGTATGAATGCGGAGTGCTGGACCTTGGCTCCCTATCCTTGACCTAAGACTGCGGTAAGGACACTCATTGCAAGTCAATATTGCAAGGGTGCATAAACAATCGGCAGCGGCGGCGGCCAGACGACAGCTCGTGCATATGTAACAGCCTGTAGGTCCAGCAGTCAGCGGCTGCTGCTCAGTGACAGTGACGATACAACAACACGGAATATTTAAGGCATCGTTTGTCACTGTAAACAACTTATAGTTTCAGGTAATATGAATTATTTATCTGGAAGAATAAAAACAGTTGCAAAAGATCGAATAAATTGAATCTACGAAAACATTGCAAAAATAATACTGAATAATTCAAACGACACAAACCACAATCGAAAAGGATTGTTTTTTTCAGGCTGAAGTCGTTCAAAGGCATCGTTTACAAGTACTTACAATACAATTACTTTTTCATTTAAAAATTGTATCGTTTCGCGTTGAAATAACAATTATATCGAGAGAAGCTCCGATCACGTTCCGCTAACGAAGCAATAGGGAAAGTGTCGCTTTAATCACAAATAATTAAATGCATTGTTTGCCCGCGCCGTGGCTCCGTGGCTCCGTGGCTCGCGGCTCCGTCACTACACTCTACTTCTTTCTTGTTTATACGAAGCTTTGTTTATTTTATCACAACTTGTTTCAATTATTTTCTAAAGCGCCAATTGAAATGGTGTTACTGGGGACCATTTGTTCATCTATTGCGTTTTACATGTTTGCTAATGTGTGCTTTCTATTCTCTGACTCGTCTTGTAGCAATTGTGCCAGGAATGCACCTTAACAAAATACAACGTCTGAGGTTTGTTTATTGTAGCCTCATATTGCGGGCAGTCAAACAGAACTAGATTGTGGTTCCTTAGCGTCAGCAAGTGCCCGTCAGCCACCAGCCGTCAGCCGCCAGCCGCCGGCAGACCGCCCTGTGTACATTGCAGTGACGGCAGACGGAAATAAGATGCAGATATTATATTTCGAAATACTTTCCACAAAGAATCAAGTAATTATTTTCTTCTGCATTTTCCTTTGGATTTATTTTTTGCCCTCAAAGAACCTAGTGGTTTTAAAATAGCAAAATGTTTTATGACAGTTGGCAACTTTTAGATTGTTTGACATCCTCATTGAGTTCAGTGCAATGAGCTAACGTCACGCCTTATTTCCGTCGTCTAAACAATGAACAGACATAAAATCCGCGAATAGGTGAACTTAATGTGTGCCCTCCTCCCGTCCTGCGCACTTCCCGCACCTCGCAAACTTACGAGATGATAGAAGCAAGTCCAGGCACCGCGTGACGGCACCTGATACCGCGGCTATTGATTGTGATAGATGGGCCCTTATAAAAATGGATTAACCTTTGAAATATAGTTCAAATAACCTCATATATCTATTGCCTCAATATTTGTCGATGGCACTGTTAGTAAACTCGGTGATCACTTTCGTATTCTATGATTTTACTGATTAAAATGTTATTCATTAATATTATTGAAATAGACAACGCCTTCTCCCGCGGTTCCGCTAAATAAAATGGAGTCCTAATCACAGGAAAGTAACAGATGAGCAAAAATGCTTGTGTAGCGGTAGGGGTCGCCGGACTCATAACCAATGGTTCGGAAGGCGGGGGCAATGATTACGCGGTACGTTGCTGGCGCTCGGAATGGAATTACTTTAATTATAAGTAGTTTGTTTCTACATCTCATTTGCTTTCACGAATGTTGACCTGTGGACCTTCCAATGTTGTTCCTTTGTAGCCCCTCAATGTGACCCTCCTCTCCTTCTATAATGTGAGGGTCTGTCCTCAAAGAACATCTATTACTATGTCAAGTTCTTCTTTGTACTGTTGGCTTTTAGGTACTGGAGCAGTTACTTGTAAATGTAGTAAGATGCTATTATGCTGTTTACGGATCAAATTGAGATTCTTCGGTCGTGGTCATTCAAGTATGAGATATTACGCAAAATTATTATTTGAGTATTTTTATTTCGCATATCTGCCTGTAGTGATCACAAGTCACGCTCCTAAATCAACAGTCCTCTCCTACGTCATCACGTATTTGGCTCCGTAATTGTTTAGTATCGCTAATGTGCCTGTATGTATACATATACTATATATGTGTGTGACGTCACAGCCCCCTGACATACGGCTCACGCCTTCCATCTATTGCCCATAAGAATTCATTAAGGTTAATTACATTTTGCCTCTTCCTACCTCCGCATGTATTTCTATGGTTATGTCGGAGGCTTAAATTATGTTCTTGAGAGAATTCCGTTGTAAGTAAAATTCCCCTGTTGTTATTTTTATTTGACATCCACGCTAGTACCTACTACATAATGTAACCTAAAGCAGTTTTGTAAGTCCGTTGTATAAAAACTGTATAAAAGTTAATTACCTTTTATAATCCCACTTTATATTTGAAGTCACATTCAAAAAAGCCCTCGCCTTTATTACAAAACTTTCGTATTTTCTTTAATCTCAGTAGATACTAAAGAAAACATTAGCGATCTCTTAAATAAAGAAAATAACATCAAGTTGGAGTCGCTAAACGAATTTAAAATTCTAATATAAATGTTAGACAAATTTGTAATTAGGCTGCTATGGCCAAACAAGCCCGCGGTGCTTCATTTACTGAAAGCTTCGGTGAGTTTAGTTGAGCAACTTGTGAAGTAAGACAATGTTTCCTGCGTCGACTCCACCGCCCTGTCCTCACGGCTCACTGACAGTGCCCTCTAAACTTATGGTCGACGCTGTGCCGTTAGGCTGACTGTCTGCGTCAGCTGGTGTGTTTATGTGTTTTACTGATTATGAAGAAGAAAGAGATATGTGATTGAAGTAAGAAGTTGATAGTATTTGAAGCACACAAGAGTGTAGTATTGAATAACATAAAATTAAATACTTACGACGCTGTGCCCGCTGCGGCTCCGTAGGCTGAGCCGCATCTTCCAGTCGCGCTTGGAGGTGGCGCCGCCCTCCGAGCTGAACGACCGCTTCATGGGCAACGACATCTTGGAGGCACTCGACTACCCGCCACAAAACATAATGCGTCTCTGTCGCATAATCTTTGCACTCACTAGTTCACGTTCCGCGTCCGCAATACGTTACATTATTCGGGATACTGTTCCAACGTCAAAGAACACATCGCAGACGCGACACTCCCTACATGCTAACTAACCTAACACTACTGGATAACATTATTACACTAACACTGATAAATAGACACCGAGAAAGAGAAAAATACTACTGGAACACTACTTGACACTACACACCAATCTGAAACAAAGAGGCAACATATTAATAAACAGTCGCTTGAACCTCACTGAGGGAATCCCTTTGTACCGGGGAGCGGTCTCAGTTTCGCATGACACCCGGTTTGTCACTACCAGCTAAAGTACACAGGAAACGTGTTAATCTGTTAAGCTTTTATTCCTCTGGGTGAGAGACAAGAGGGAGAGCTCCTGAAACCAGTTTTGCGGTCATTTGAAAGGATTCTATTTATACACGGACAAGGGGACCTTTGACGCGACACACTCACTCACAACTTGTGCATTTAGCGCCGGGCACAACATTGGCAGTGCAATGGGTAGTAGGCAGCGTGCGAGGTATAGCTTGATTTAGTTGTTATTGCTTACTAATAATATTATTTAGACGAACAAGAAACTTGTTCATTTATAAACGAGTGATCGCGGAGAATACACAAAGAACATACTTTTGGTATTTCGATTCAGAATAAAGTTGCAAAGCTTCCGGTGAACTCTGAGTAACTCCTTCAATATACCACTTTACGAACTCCAAAAATAATATGATTATGTTTTGGAAAGTTAAACAACCGAAATATTCAAACAAAACTCAATCAAATCATGGAATTACGGAGGGTGGGCAGAGGAGGCGTACTCTTGTACTAGAGTGAGCGTACATACTATTACTATATAATAATATTTATTTACCTGGCCTTACTGTGGACCTGTGTATTGTTTATCGCGGCGAGTATCGTGTGCTATCAATGAGTTTAGTCTGATTGGTGAGCTGTGAATCCGTACCGCTGAGGGGCGGCCGGGGTGAGGAGGCTCTCGCTCACCAAGATATCGAATGTACAGTTTATACGTAGTGTACAGGAGATACGTGACACATGTATCATTTGTCTGCTTCGAGGGAGTAAATATTTTTGATGCAGTTTTTAAATCTGTGTTCATTTTATTGGAGGTACAGGTGTCGGTTTCATTTTCATAAATACCGCACGTCATGGTTTTCCTGTCTTATATACTATATACTGTGTGTACGTGCCACAAAGGCAACTATTGTTCACTGTTTTTCAATAAGGTTCTACACTAAGGTACGTGCAAGTAAGCAACCGAGAGACCGACTAACAAAAATTTATTTTAAATTTAAAAATTGTCTTCCTGGTCAATTTCAGAAAATTACTCCATTTCAACTTCTTCTTTTAATTATTCATCCTAGTTACTTGTAAGTACACAGAAAGAAGTAGTTACAATATAAAACCTAAGAGATGACTGCTAATATAAAATCTAAAATGGATTTCTCATTAAATCTACCGGAAGTCTGAGACTTCCGTTCGTTTTCTGCATCGGAATCAAGCGCTACTGAAACTCAAACAATAAAACCTCGTTTTTACATCTAACCGAACCTCGCGTTGTTGTTGAACACTGTGCAGTGTCGTTGCATAGGGGAAGGAGCAGGCACTGTGTCCTTGTACAACTTTGCTGGACTGCACAATTTGTGCTAAAGTGTATTCTCACATACGGTGTAACAGGTAATTCAATTCGGTCGCTCACTTACCCTGACAAAGGGCATGTACTGATATTCCAACAATTTCCAGCACTCCCTCGGAGAGCAGGAATTCCGAAAAGAATTTTTAGTGAAACCAGATTGTCAGTTGTCGCTCCCGTAATGTCACCCTTTTGAGGGTTTGTGTACACTTCACGCAGTTCCAACAATTTTATACTTTATGTTGTTTAAATTCAAATACATTCACTGAAACTCCTTTTATTAATTAGCAATTACTTGGAATATCCATTTGAACAACTTATATTAAAAACGTTACATTTGCATAAAAGCGGTACACAACAAAATAAAGTACCAGTCGTCTCCCTAACCAAATAAAAGTATCGTCGAATACAAATATAATTTGCAAATCCCCTAAGTACAATTCGAAGGATGAGTCCGTAAATTCAATAAAACGTAACGGTATGAATGTAGCCAATGAGCCATTAAGGCTTTACATCAATCCCCGGGCGAACAGAATGAGTGAGTACTGACGTACGATCATCAGGAGCCGGGACACGAACAAACATGTTTCAAAGGGAACCAATTCAATGAAGTACATCCGAGCACGACGTACTCCGCCCCGCGGTATCGTCACGTCACGCGTCACCTCTCTGCCTACATCCAACCAAACAAACCTCAGTATTTCCATTTTTAGTTATCTAACTTTAATGTTACCCTCAACCATAATATTAGATTAGAAGGGACTCCGCTCGTGAGCGTGGTTTCATTACTAATTAAGATGACCACAACATGTATTGTTATGGTCACAGTTTAGGTCCACAAAGTCTAGAACGCTGCCGTCACGTGAACTGACCTACGCTATGAGTTTGGTTTGCCTGCCTTGTCGCCTGGTAGCGGCCGATAACAACAACCAATTGTAAATTTGAATCTATGTTGTGAGAGCGGATCAAAGGCCCGCTATGTGCAGCTCCAGTCAATTCAAATGAACAGAATCAAGCTTAATTTCATATAAACAAATGATCAAAGTTTTGAAACAGATCCAATTAATTATTAAACTGCCGTACCATAGACTCTTGACATTCTACACTCAAGTAATTAAATCAATTAATTTCAATTGAGGCCCCACACACTTCCTTCCTCCATAAGTATCACTAAAAAGATACTTCTCATTATGCTTTGTTATGAAGAAATGCTTTGCAAGTATATATATTTACATTGCCTCTATATTTTATTTGTATTTACTGTAAGCGAGTATCCTCGACTTGCTCGCTCGCTTACTTTTAAGATAATTGATATTTTTTCAAAGAGTTGTCTCATGCAGTGATTCTAATGTTATGCGTGTGTACACGGTGTAGGCTCATGTGATGCATGCAGAAGCTTGCATTTATAGCATACACTAATTAACATTCTCTTTTTTAGTAGAGTACCTAGTCATCCTACTGTTTTTGTAATAAGTAATTGAAAGCTAACCTATATTAATTTAGGTACCACATTTTGTATGAGTGCGTATTCGCCGTGCGATTAATTTAATCTCGTAACTTAGGTTCACTAATTAAACATCTATCTACGGAACAACGATATATTACTGCAACCTAATCCACGATAATAAAATAATTTCCTAAACGAATAAAATATAAGTGGAAATAATTTCCCGGCCATCCGTTGTGCTTTTCTCGAGGGAGTGGGTGCAGTATTAATAGACTGCATATCGATAACTTTCGCAATTACCGGCTAAGTCGGGGCTCGGTGCGCCGTGCACACGGGCACACGAGGTGCGAAGCCCCGGCATTAGTCGCAAACTTTCCCGGAATAAGTCGGCGTCGGACATAATTCCCAGCTATTACGTCTACTTATTACTGTTCACTGAACTACTACAGCTTCCGCCGAGCCCCACATCACATTCATTGCTCAACCTATGTCTTTCAATTCTTCATACTTTTCTCAAGGCTGTAACGTCGCTGCATAGCGCGCACAGGGTGTGAACATTGATGCTTGGCGACATTAAGTGATACACATTTCGTATGTTGTACAATAAACATTTTTGTTAGTTCAATGTTTCTGTATAATACATTTTACAAGTAGGTAGAGACTTTGCTTAATTCTCGACAGAAGTATCTAGTCTATTTGTGTTTTAAAGAAAACAAACGAAACGTTATGGAAGCCCTTATCTGAGTTAAGAGCGGCTCCCACGGGATACTCACATTTTTACAAATAAATATTCTGCCAGTGTACGCACACTGACAGACTGGCAGTTCCAGCGACACAATTACACGTACCAAGTACTTTATTGTAAAGTTACCGCGGGACGACGTTTGTGTAAGTAACCATACTAAGTCTACGTACAAACTAAAATAGCGACACGAAACAAAAACGAACCGAAGCAACTTATATAAATATTCAGGAAAAAGATGGAACATTTTATTTAAAGAGATTTTAGAGGAAAATCCTTTTTCATATTTTTTCAATAAAAACATAACAACGGATTTGGATGATGTTTTTTCCCAGCAAATATAATGCTGTGGAGTAAGCTGAGCTACGAGTTTTATTTTCATTTTATTATTTTACATCGTCGATACTGGCAACCCCACGCAAGCAGCCAATTAACGAACAATACAAGCCGCTTACTGCTTGCTTACATTAATCCTTTTGTAAAATATAAAAATAAGAGATTAACAATCGCGCCGCGCCGCGCCGTGCCGCGTCGTACCGCTCCGCGCTTACCTCTATTGGCTAAGAGGATGAGCAGGCAGCCCGCCGCCGCTGTGGCTATTCCTTTTGTGCACCGCCTCGTGTGGTTATATTTACATAATCTTATAATCCTAGAGTCTGAGTCGCTGCATATTATATTACCTAATCTTACTGGAGAGTATTTAGAAAAAACTACTTGAATTATTGACTTATTTTGCACTAAGATGAAAGTAGCAAGAAATTTTTTAACTAAATCATTTTTTATGAATGAATCACTGGCTGTTGCTGCTACTTAAATACATGCATGACACATATTAACATAAAATTAAACCATAACTTCAACATTCGGGCATTAGTTAATCGAAAATATTATATATCTGTGGAGGCTTGTCATTACCAACTTAATTAAGTACATATTTTTGTTACCTGTTCCGTAATTTGTCTGTAAGTCTTCCTAAAATGAATAAATTAAAAAAACTTTTAAAGCAGGTATTTAAAAGTCTCGGTACTAAAATCTTTAAATAATATTTTTATAGAATTAAAATAGTAGAGATTGTCGAAAACTAAGCGCGAATACAAAATTTTCACCTTACTCAGTTGTAGTATCTACTTAAATTTAATTGCAAGATTCTATTTGAAAAACATATAGAAAATTGTGAAAAGTGATCGATTGCCTTCCAAATATTTAGCAATAACTTATTGTTCGCATGATTAAATCTACGACAAAATGTCGAAGAACTATGTACAATACTTTAACGCCTACTGAAAAATGATAACAAAATGTTGGAAACAAATATTTATGCGAGGCTGTCCTCTTAGTCCCTCGCCCTCACCCCTTC